CACATGTGTTTTTGTGAATTTTACAGTACATTCACCATTTTCTTTTTGAATGACCTTCATTCCTGCTGGGCAGTAAGCATTTATTTTGCTGCTACCCTGGGTCTTAAGATGTCTAATTCCATTACCTTTGGGTGTATATATTCCAGAGCGGTGACAAGAAAAATACAGTTTGACTTGTCCTGCATACCTTGAATCAGGACCTCTGGTAGTTTTAACAAATTTAGCATATGTCTTTTGTTCAGTCTCTTCTTTCCATGCTATAAACAAGTCTACTGAAGAAAATGTCAGTATTTCTTCTTGTATTGTTAATTCATGAACGCTGTTAAAATGTTCCAGCAGAAGTTTTTTGGAATAACTAGCATCACACAGACCACAGTTCAAAATGTTCGAATTATCAGGTGTTTCAATTATTTCACCATGGTCATTCTGGAGATGATAACGTAGCCGGCGATTTTGATTGAATTTCCTGGAACATAAATGACAAGGAAAATTAAACACTTTCTGCAACTTCTTTGGATTCACTAATTCGTTCACATGATCTGGATGAAAATTATTTGTATGCACTTTTAAATAACGAAACTCTTTAAAAGTCTTTCCGCACAATGTGCATGTGTAACTATTTACAATGTCAGTTTCTGCAGAAGCCGTAAATTCAGGTAGTTCATTCACGATGTTGGCCATCTCAACAATGAGGACAAATGCTACACACAAAAATATGAAATAATCCTAACGAAATAAATACGTAAACTAAAAACTTAATAAATGAAATTTGCGAAAAACTGAATGCTAATAATAAGTAAAATCAATAATAAAACAGATGTTAATAAAATGAATTTTGTATTTAATAAGCTACGATCGACGNAAAATATGAAATAATCCTAACGAAATAAATACGTAAACTAAAAACTTAATAAATGAAATTTGCGAAAAACTGAATGCTAATAATAAGTAAAATCAATAATAAAACTTCTTCGGATATCAAACAAACTACTACTAGACCCAAGGACCTTGCAGTAGACCGATTGCTTACAGTACACAAGTTTATTACCTCCAAAAATGGCCGACAGAGGGAGCCTCTATCAGAGTAAGTTGGAACGCCCGGTCGCTAGACGCTTGTAAATACTTGAGGGTACCCAAATACTGTGAGTTAAGGTTTGCCACCAATAATCAACGGCCCGAGAACTCGACAGTCAAGTGTTCATTCAGTTAACACTCTTCTTATATTGGGTTACTTGCAAGTGTTGCAAGTAAAGTACACTTAACAAAGTATGTTGGGGATAGGGAAAATTGAAATGCAATGCATGGAATTGCATCATGACATCCTTTGTGTTGCATTCCTGAAAATAAAGTTGTAACATCTTGCTTGTCTCTGCCTTGGTATATCCCATTCTGTCACACATTGTTTGCACTCTACTAAACCAACTTTAAAGATCTGAAGTAAAAAAATATGATACTACCAATACAAACACAATAATCTGTATCATTGCCTTAACAATGGATTACTAATTATTAAAAACTGACATCAGGAATTAAATCGGCAACTTTTGAAAGCACATCACAGCCATACAATCTGCAAACCTATCACAGATAGGAGATACTGTACATCAGACAACCCATCAGGTTAATGTCATCAGGTACATACACCCTAGGAACACCTGATGACACTAAGATTGCTGTCCATCAGTATTTTTCTGGACAACAATCTTTCTTCGTCAGGAGCTCCTATGGTATATTATTTTCCAAACACCTGGTATAATTAACTGCTGGATTAAAAGTTGTTTATTCTAATCCAATCATTCTGTTAATACTGTAGATCAAGGTTTTTAATAAATGATATAATAATATCTATATCAAAGAACTGTTTTGGAATAAATTGTTTTATGATTTATTATTAGTAAGTGATTTTATTTATATATCTATTTTATATACCTATAGGCTATAACATAAAACATGTAATTTTCTTGGGTAAAAACAGAATCACAAATGGAAAAAGTTTAAGCAATACTGTAGATAAACAGCCAATATAAGTAGTGCAAACTTATGCTTTGGATATTTATATGAAAATATTCATTTGTACTATTTTCAGAATCAATATTTTTTGAGGTATCCTGCATATTAATCAAAGAGCTTGCAGATTTTAAATTACTATATTTTTGTGCACATAATCCATATGAAAATTACTAGAACAAAATTAAACTCATTGCATAACAACACATTTTATTGTATACTCTGATCTGTGGGAGTGGTCAATGCTCTGTAAGAGTGCATTTTATATGATTATAACACTTACGTGTTGTGGCGTTACAGGAGTGGAGTCTTGGAGAATGAACTCGTCCGACTTTAGAAAATGAACTCGTCCGCTAGTACTTTCAGTAGTATATAACTACCGTCTTCAGGAGGTCTATCGAATACAACGTAAGTGCTATAATCATATAATAAACGTTGGCGTGAAGTGCAATTGTATTATATCAAGAGTGCATTTGTAATTGCAATTTAAAATCCACATATAATCCACCCATTGCATAATCTGCAACCCTTTTCAAATCATCTTTTAAATACAGCTTATATGCAATTAAAATATATATTTTTGAAAGATTGTTTTAAATTATTAACTTGATAGCAATTGATAACATTAAATTATAACCACATAAAACAATTTACTTTCATATTTCATTATACATCTTATTAAAAGAAACAAATTTAATTATTAGTTATAAATAAACTGGATTTTTAAAAATTGATATAGATCAGAACTATTTTAGAATAAAATTCTGAGCAAAAATATTGATAATATTCTATACTTAATAATTGCAATTTTGCTAAGATGTAATGAGTTTTCTCTTCCCAATGGTACATTTCATTAATAAATTAATTAGTCTGTTAGTAATGTCATTTTATAAATTTTAAATGCTAGTAATTAAATTTTCCTGCAAATTTGAATTATTATATTACTTTTACATTATTAATAAAATAACTGGTAATGAAAAATTTGTCTGTCTTAATTTTATTAAAATGCTTATATAAACATTATTTTGCATTCAAAATTCTATTCTATCAATCAAAAATGTTTTGAAGACTTGAAAAACATTAACAAACTTTGCAATAATTATATAAAAGTGTAAATATTTGTAAAAATATACAGCTAATTCCAATTTCCACATAATTTAATCATAGATTATGTCGATAAAAGTAAAATATTTTAATGTATTTGTTTAATAAGAAATTATTAAACTTTCAAAGCAACTGATGACAAAAATACTACGTAACACATCAACTAAACCTTTTTACAATCAGCACAGTTTACTTTAATAGTCCTTAGCAAACATTTTTAACCAGTTTTTTAGAGGTCAACATCAAGTTGTTAGCTAATTTAGATCATCATTTAAAAACAACAGAATATGGAACATTAAATATTACAAAAACATTACATTATTGAAATATACAGACATTACATTACAAATGTAATATCTTGACTCAATTAAATAAATGTAAAACAAAATACAAAAAAAAAAAAAAAATAGAAAACATTTGCTAAAGACTATTAGATTGTGTAAAAAAGTGTAATTGATGTTTCACGTGATTATTAAAATTATCCAGTATCAGAAAACAGATTAAACCTGATACCAATTAACTAGAATAATCTCTCATCACAGAAGCCTACTGATAATATGATTATTTTCAATATGCTTCTCAAGCAATTGATAGGCAATACAAGATAATTATGTATATAATTATTTTGTATAAATCCTAATTTTTTTTAATTCAGTCATGTAAATTCATATTCTTTAATTAATTAATGTTGGTGTTTCTGTTTTGCACAAGAGCGTTTTAGATTAAACTGTGCTAAATATTAGTAAAGAAATAAATTAATACACAAGAAATAAACATGAAGATAAGAAGTGAAACTAAATAAATAGGTTAATACCAAACAAGATACAAAAATATGCACTATACAGCCAGTACCGTCCCGAGGCAAGTTTTAGGATGGAGCGAGATCCTATTATGGCACCCCCCTTGGTTGCCCCTAATTTATACCCTTTAATTTTCTTTACCACTGAGACGCCCCCTAGGACTTAGTGCCTGGAGCGGCTGCTCCATTCGCCCTATGGTAGGGCCGGCTCTGTATACAGCATATGACTAAATCAGCTGGGGATTCATCATAAAGTTCATGCACAGCTCATAATAGTAGTAATTGTGAAGCTGATGTAGAGTGCCAATCATCAAACAATTTCCACAGAATATTGTAATAATAATTATAATAGACTCACAAAGAGAGATAGCTGAAATCCTGTAGAAAGTTAGTTCCTCCATCCAGATACAAATGCAGCTCCGAATGAGGACCTTATCAGAGCTATAGAACATGCCCAAACAAGTAAAAACATCAATGAAACAATAGTCTACATGTAACTGTTTATAAGTTATAGTCCCCAAAATCAACAATAAATAAAAGTTTTTCAATCATCTATCAGTAAACATAACATAGTCGATATTTTTATATTTTTATTTTGTAATTTAAGAATGACTATATTCATTATTATAATTACCTAAAAACCACATTATAATCATATCAGGGATCACCCTAGCTTTTTTTATAGCAGTTGCCAACCTATTTACCAAACACATTTTTTTATTTGCCAAAATAGAAAGTTATTCTCCAGGTTACTTTTTTGCGTACTGTAAAACTTTGTACCAACCTAAAATAAAACGACGAATAACAATATAAAAAAAATTCAGTTTCTCAAGTAGCTTTATTTTTGTTTATTAACAGTAAAACTGTATGGTCCAGCATTTTCATCACCACCTCCTAAAACTGACACAAAGAACCTCATCTCCAATTTGAAGATCTTCTTACAAGCCTATTGGATAGGCAAAAGGAATACTATCATTGAATGGCCATGTTCAAAATTAAGAAAATCAGGGAATCTTCCGAAGTGTTGGAACTGAGGGGCAAGCTAAGTCGTACTATTTGTCTGATGCAACTGAATAAAATCGTATCTGGCCAAGACCAATTCACGTTATACAATACTTTTTCTCACTAAGTGGCTTTTTCACCGAACTGCTCTCTCCAATTGCAAAATGAATAGAATGTTCACAAATTGTGAATTTTGCAATAGACATAATGACCCCTGCGTATGATTATAGATATATTAACCATACCATATTGTATTTGTGATTAATTTTAAATGCATTATAAATTAAGCATTGTCAAGTCTTTAATATACCTAATTCTTAAAATTTGCATGTTATATTATTATAGTTTTATGAAAAACATTTAACTAAAATGTAGTTTATCATTTTGATCTTTTTATTTGAAAAAAAATAGTTTGAAGTTTTATTATATGAAACTCGTGTTGCAAATTGGATTCATTAACATACAAAATGTAATTAGTAAATACAAACAATAATGAGTAATATCTTATTATTTAATATTAAATAATTATTTTCACTAATTTTTAATTAAAAGATGAAACTGCCTCACCCTAAATATTTATAATTATACTTTTCAGTCATTATTTTTCTCGAAGAAGTAAAAAAATAACTAAAATTCTTATAATTACAAATAATCTTTAAAGTCCTCATGTAACAGATAATTATAAACACGTGACACTGACGGTGCTTTAACAGTGCCCTCTCCTTTTTCAATTCAATAATTTTAATAAGTAATTTTAAATTACTATAAAAATAAAAAGCTTTTAAATAAAATCTAAATTAAACGAATAGAATAAGGTTAATATTTATGTTTTTATATTTGGTATTAATAATTTAT